TGAACCTTATGCTTTGATTATTATTTTACATTTGTTTAGTAATGATGTTAGTGATATTTAGTTTATTCCTCTGATATTCATTAGGTCAATGGATTGGATCATTTTATTATTTATCTTTCGTTGTATTTTGCATTTATTATGCATATGGTTGGTTGGTTAAAGCATTGGTGTCTGGTCCGTTGCCTATCCTATGTGATCTGGGGTGGGGGTGTGACAGGCACGATACTTGGCATCGAGGTACCCCCGTTCTATGACAGACACATGCCCTCGGGTTCGAGGGTACCTCCACTCCGAGGCAGCCACGTGTTCTCGACTCCAACGGTACTTACTAGAACTCTAGTCTTGCCACGTGTCTCATGCTCCTGGAGAGGCTATTGATTGACAAGCTGATCAATCTCAACTAGACTAGGAATCATGAGGATGCTCTGCACAACGAGACCAAAATGGAAGAACAAACGAGACACTCAACCAAGGAAAGTCAAATGCGTGACATGAAGTACATGCTGAGGGATGAATGGACAAAAATCCCTAACTAACATACAATAATCTCAGGCAAGCATTTAATGGATCCTCAACTGATGGGACATCCACAGTAGCTTGGGAAGTTGAGGATATGGAGTATTTAGTACTCTGGGGACCGAGCATCTAAAGCATCCACATTGAAGAAAGAGCATTAAATGCTCAGGAGGTCGGGCAATTAATAACGGGACATTTCCCGTGCAAAATAGGAGGCGCACTGTCCCATGTCTGGGCACTACCTACTATCTAGATCATCAGTAATAATGAGTCTTTGAGGGTATAAATAGCTTTCAAAAATGTAAGGCAAATGTATGCAAAATCACTCCTCAAAGAACTAACTTGATCGTCGGAGGGGATACACCGAAAAACACTCTGGCGCCCTTCTAACCTATTTTCTGTGTGCCAGGAATCACCCGTGACCCACTGGAATCGATCTAGTAGCCCCTGGAGCAATTCATCACCACTTCTTAGGCCCCCTTTGGCCATTTTGGATTTTTCCTTTGTCCCGAGATTGTTGACTTTCGAAACGAACACGAGTTCATCACGGGAGAGACAATTTGTCTTTTCATCTATTGTGCGAAAATCACCGCGCACACTTATGACATCTTCCACTATCATTTTATTTCGTTCAGCCCATTCTCGGTGTTCACCTCTATTGTGCTATTTCATTGTTGGATTTTAGATTTTTTAATATTTAATTTCACACTCATTTAATTTGATCTTCTTGGTTGATTTTGCCCCTTTTGCTAACTATTTTTAATAAGTTTCATGGGTTGAGTTGATTTTCTCCCCCGCATCAACCAAATTGGTTTGGTTTGGTTTGCTTTTGTTTGGTTGCTATTGGTGTTAATTTCTTCCGTCACATTTGTTTAGTTGCTTTATAAATGCTAATGCATTAGTTCTCCTAATTTGAACAACTGATGCATTTGAAGAATGGATGCCAAGGAAAAATATACATATGCTAATGGACTTAATTTTTGTTAATGCCCTTTGTCTACCACTATTATTCACAACTGCACTTTTCTATTTCGTCCCTCCATGCTGCTCCCCTACTCTCCCTTGTAGTATGAGTTTCTTTTCTTTGAATAACTCTTCATTTTACGAGCATTGGCTTGAAAAATCAGAATACATCATGTGATGCTATACTAGATTCAATTCTATTATGAATATTCCGAACATTTGTAGTGTGTTGTGTTGGTCTAATTGTTCTTAGTAGTTGTTATTATGATCGTTTTAGTCAAATATTTGTAGTTATTATGTTCTTGGTAGATTGAGTATGTGCTTGAAGACACTATGTATCATCGTAATAGTATTCAACACCATTGCTAGGTTTTTATGTTTATTACTATTATAATGTTGTGGTAGTTGGTAAATGGTTTTGTCAATTGACCCAAAAAATAATGGAGGACTATGGTCTGATAGTGAGTCCGATAATTAGTTTGATATTGTTGATTTTGTATCTAAAAGGTCCAGGTTGATTGGAGATTTTGCAAACCGATGATAATTCTCATTTTTTTCTACTTGTTATTTTTTTTCCTGTTGTATAGTGTCTTTAGGCATGATATTTGATTATGAGTTGTATATACAAGATAATATTGTCAATTGGAACATGTTTTCAAATGGCATTTTATCGAATTTTTTTTAAAGATAACAATTGGTTTATATCAACTAATAAAATTTTTTTGTTACACCAATTATTTTGATCTAAGATTCACATGTGGACTCATAACTACATGCAATATGTTGTGGATAATATTGGTGTTGAACAGGTGGTTGAATTGTGCAATGGTGGATCATAGTGTAATGAAAGTTACTAATAAATTTTTAAGGTATGATGACAAAATATATAATCGCGTATGCATGTTCAAATATTTTTTTAGTTTTGTTTTTAGAGATAATTTTGTTCATTATATATATATATATATATATATATATATATATATATATATATGCATTGGCTCTAGATATTTATGCATATCGGTATGTGCACCATTTTTTTCTTTTGCTAATGTTCATTTTTTTAGTTGTTGATTTTTTTTTATCGCACAGTGCCTTCAAGCATTGACAAAAAGAAAAAAATTAAATTAGTTTTCTAATCATTGAGCTTATATTCTTGGCACTTTCAACTTAAAAATGGAGAAAACTGTCAACTTATCATTCAACCTTCTTTGGTTTATTGGTTTGTGGATTGAGGTTTGGTGAGCTTTGTCAATTGATTAGAGAAACATTTTTTCATGGAAGAAAGACATCCTACCATTGAACTCATGGATAAGCGTCAATAGAAAATGGTGGAGTTTAGGACTTTTAAATCGAGTACCTTATGATGGAACTGAAGCTAATAACTTTGATGGTTTTTGACTTCTCTTTGAAATATAGCGTGTATGAAGGTAATATATTCTTAAATCAAGATCATTATTATTGAGATGCAATAGACCACTTGGTATTTTTATTTTTTAATTTCATGGGTTTTATGTAGACGACCACCACTCCCCCCTCCCCTCTATGTTTTGTCCTACCACCATTTGTTTAATGCATTCATTATTTGCTGTAATTATGCAGGTTGTCTCTAATTCACACACTCACGCCATCAATAAATTCACTGGTAGTGGGTTTGAATTCACTAAAGAGTTGGCTGACGTGGGTTTGTTTTTTTTTTTTTGTTTGATTTGAATTTGTGTAGTTGTCTCTCATATTCGATTTGAATTTGTTTCCTTATGTGGGTTTGATTTTTTTGATTCACTACGTGGTGTAGCAATGTAATTTGTGGCCTTCAATGTATTTTTCATGACATGCTCCACATGCACAAGTTATTTAATTTTGTCACATACAAAGTATATACATTCTTATTAAAATTTTCCACGTACCTTGTCTTTCTTTAAATTCTATAACATATGGTTCATAATATTGAAAAAATGCTTCTACATTATTCTTAAATCATATAAGTTTTCATTAATATTCTATTCAAAAACAGGGTTAGTTATAATTGACAATTTAAAAGAAGTTATAATTGACAACGACCTATTTTATTTTTTAAAATAGTGGGTTTATATTTATTGGTGATTTTAAAAAATTATAACGGACATTTAGGCATGCGTAATAATTTACAACTTTTTGTTTGTCATTTAGTGTCTTCAAGTACTAGCAATTACTAGTATATATATATGAGAAAGAGAAATAAATAATCATATTCTATATATGGATATAGATAGATATGAAAAACATAAAATTTTAAAAGATTTTTGTTTTTTATGGTTCAGATCGTTTTAAATTTTATTTTAAAGTTAATCTAACGACTAATATTAACATCCTCAATTTAATAGAAAAAATAGGAGTTTAAGGGTGTATTTGGAGTAACTTTTTAAAAGTACTTTTAGGAATTATTTTTTACAAGTAATTTAAACAAAATAGTATTTGAAAAAATTTCACCACTACCTCTACCACCACCATTCCCACCACCACTACCTCTACCACCATTGTTGCCGCCACCACTGTTGCCACCATTGCCACTGTTGTCGTCGTCATTGCCGTCGCCACCACCATCGTTACTGCTACTGTCGCCACTACCACCGTCATCGCCACCGTTGCCACCACCACCAACACTATCGCCACAACAACCATCACCACAGTCGTCATTGCCGCCGTTGCCGCCACAACAATCATTGTCATCCACTGTAACAATCACAGTCTCCTTTCACGACCACTGTCGCCCACTACCTCTCATCCCCACTACAACTAATGTTTAAATTTATTAATCTCTATTCTATGTATGTGATTTGATTTTGGATATGAATACAAATTTATTTATTATTTATTATTTTTTATTACTTTATATTTTCAAGTACAAACACTAACTAATAAATCTATAAAAGAGGATTAGCCTCTAAATTTTCCTTTTTTTGAGGGAAGAGATAATCACCATTTTACTTGGCCACTTTCCCCCAAATAAAAAAAAAAACATTTTCCTTGGTTGAAAGATTCATACCATTTTCGCGTGGTACGATGAAAGCGACCCTTCATCAAACATTTAACTTGTTTTTTTTTTTTTTTGGGGTCTCGTAATGAATTACTAGTCATGCCGTGTCCCCCTTTGATGTGTGCTGTGTGCCCACTTAGATAATGATTGGGCAGCCAAGAATACTAATATATAAAAATGTATTATAAATAAAATCAACTAATCCTGATTTTGTTTATCACCATTAATTTTTTCACAAATGTTTCATCCAAAAAGTCAAAGATTAATTTTTTTTATGTCCCATCTTTAATTTGAAGTTCTAATTTGCAATTCTTTTCGGACTTTTCTTCACTAGTCAACATTGCAGATAATTTCTCTTTTGTTATGTTATATCCTGAATAATAATTAATTTTTCATACTTAATTCCGCTTAATTTCCCTATAATGAACTTAATTCATTGTTTGAGCCCATTGGCCTATCCAAAATTATCCCACCCTACTAAAGATAGGGCAGGACCTTCATTGAGAGAGAGAGAGAGAAAGAGAGAGAGGGCAATGGCGCTATTGGGAGATAGGCCAGTTTCTGTTTTTGAGCAGGGAAGCTTCAGTGTAAACCCCTTCAAAGTGCAGACTTCAGATGCTTCTAGACCACCTAAAGAGTTGTTCATCGTTACACCTATCCCAAAAGGCTTATATCCTGTTTTGCTATTTTTTCATGGCACTTGTCTTCTCAACTCTTCATACAGTAACATCCTCCAACACATATCTTCCCATGGATATATAGTCGTTGCCCCTCAGGTATCCCTCTCTCTCTCCCTCTAAGCAAACTTACTGTAAAGAATTTATTCTTTTCACTATATATTCCATTTTCCTAATTAATAATGTGAACTGGCCTGCCAGCTCTACCACGGCTGCCTAGTCCCCCAGAGCAACGAAGTCCACTCCGCCGGTGAAGTCACAAACTGGTTACCTACAGGCCTTCCTTCCATACTCCCCGATAACGTTCGCGCAAACCTCGACATGCTTGCCCTTTCAGGCCACAGCCGAGGAGGTAAGACCGCATTTTGCTTAGGTCTGGGTTACGGCAATATTGATCAATGCCTTAAATTCAAGGGGCTTATCGGAATCGACCCCGTCGCCGGAGGTATGGGAGTCCGATGGGACCCCAAGATCCTCACTTATGTGCCTCAATCATTCGATCTAGGAATTCCAGTTTGTGTATATGGTTCAGGGTTGGGCAGTGAAAGACAGTTTGTTATACTTCCAGCATGTGCCCCTGATGGAATGAACCATAGTGAGTTTTTCAGAGAGTGTAAACCTCCATGTTCCTACTTTGTAGCTAAGGACTATGGTCACATGGACCTGTTGGATGAAGGAATGGCAAATATTGGGGAGTTTATGTGTAAGAGTGGTCAGGGTTGTAAGAAGTTGCTGAGAAAAGGTGTGGGAGGGATTGTTGTGGCATTTTTTAAGGCTTGTTTGGAAGGTAAGAAAACGGATTTTCTCGCTATCGTACAAAATCCTGATATTGCTCCTATAAAACTTGATCCTGTTACATGCATTCCTGAAAATTTTTCAGTTAATATTATTGATGTTGCGATGTAATTATTGTGTTTGGATAATAATGAATTATATCCAATTGAGTAATTTTCATGTTAATAAATTTATTGTGAAATGGCATGTTGGTTTTGTGAATCTGTAGTGTAATTTTAATCTGTGGTACCTAGCTATATAATCCGTACATGTATCAATACATCGGATTTTAATTTGAACTTGAATTTGATTGGAAGGATGTGGATTGATGTTGTCGATCGACAATTTGAATCCTATTTCATTTGTTATATAATGTTTATCAATACAAATTTACATATATTTTTGATAATTTAAAGTGATTGTGATCTTATTAATATACTAGTTATTGCTTGTGTCTAAAGGCACAGAGTAATAAAAAATTATAAACAATAAACATATTTGTATTCATATCTAAAATCAAATCACAAATATAGAGAAAAGATAAAAGATTTTAAGCACCGATTCTTAGTGGGGGTGAGAGGTGGTGGGCAGCAGTGGTGTTGGTAGTAGATGGTGATGGTTGTGGTAGGTGGCAATTACTGTGGTGGCGGTGGTGGCAGCAAAGGTGGCGACGATGGTGGTGGCGACGGCGGCAACGATAGCTGTGGTGGTGTTGTTGGCGACAATGACAGCGGTGGAGGTGGTGGTGACAACAGTGACGATGGCGGTGATAATGGTTGAGGTGGTGATGGTGGTGGCTCGCGGCAGTGTTGGTGGTGGTGACGACGATGATGGTGGTGGTGGCGACGATGGTGGTGGTACAGGTGTTAGGGATGGCGGCAATGGTGGCAACGGCAACAGTGGTGGTGGTAGTGACGGGGGGATGGTGGTGTTGGCGGCAACGACGGTGGTGGTTGTGGTGGTGGCGGCGAGGGGGATGGTAGTGGTGGTGGTGGCAGCGGCAGTAGAGGCGGTGTGAGTGGTGGTGACTGCGACGTCGATAGTGATGGTGGCAACAGCGACAGTGGTGGTGGTGGCGATGGTGGTAGCAGCGGCGGTGNACAATAAACATATTTGTATTCATATCTAAAATCAAATCACAAATATAGAGAAAAGATAAAAGATTTTAAGCACCGATTCTTAGTGGGGGTGAGAGGTGGTGGGCAGCAGTGGTGTTGGTAGTAGATGGTGATGGTTGTGGTAGGTGGCAATTACTGTGGTGGCGGTGGTGGCAGCAAAGGTGGCGACGATGGTGGTGGCGACGGCGGCAACGATAGCTGTGGTGGTGTTGTTGGCGACAATGACAGCGGTGGAGGTGGTGGTGACAACAGTGACGATGGCGGTGATAATGGTTGAGGTGGTGATGGTGGTGGCTCGCGGCAGTGTTGGTGGTGGTGACGACGATGATGGTGGTGGTGGCGACGATGGTGGTGGTACAGGTGTTAGGGATGGCGGCAATGGTGGCAACGGCAACAGTGGTGGTGGTAGTGACGGGGGGATGGTGGTGTTGGCGGCAACGACGGTGGTGGTTGTGGTGGTGGCGGCGAGGGGGATGGTAGTGGTGGTGGTGGCAGCGGCAGTAGAGGCGGTGTGAGTGGTGGTGACTGCGACGTCGATAGTGATGGTGGCAACAGCGACAGTGGTGGTGGTGGCGATGGTGGTAGCAGCGGCGGTGAGGGGGGGGGGTGGTGACAACGGCGACGGTGGTGCTGACAGCGGTGGTGGTAACGGTAGTGGTGGTTATGGTGGTGGCAGTGGAGGNGGTGGCAATTACTGTGGTGGCGGTGGTGGCAGCAAAGGTGGCGACGATGGTGGTGGCGACGGCGGCAACGATAGCTGTGGTGGTGTTGTTGGCGACAATGACAGCGGTGGAGGTGGTGGTGACAACAGTGACGATGGCGGTGATAATGGTTGAGGTGGTGATGGTGGTGGCTCGCGGCAGTGTTGGTGGTGGTGACGACGATGATGGTGGTGGTGGCGACGATGGTGGTGGTACAGGTGTTAGGGATGGCGGCAATGGTGGCAACGGCAACAGTGGTGGTGGTAGTGACGGGGGGATGGTGGTGTTGGCGGCAACGACGGTGGTGGTTGTGGTGGTGGCGGCGAGGGGGATGGTAGTGGTGGTGGTGGCAGCGGCAGTAGAGGCGGTGTGAGTGGTGGTGACTGCGACGTCGATAGTGATGGTGGCAACAGCGACAGTGGTGGTGGTGGCGATGGTGGTAGCAGCGGCGGTGAGGGGTGGGGGTGGTGACAACGGCGACGGTGGTGCTGACAGCGGTGGTGGTAACGGTAGTGGTGGTTATGGTGGTGGCAGTGGAGGTGGGAGTGGTGGTGGTGGGGGTGTGGTAAAGGTAGTGGTGGAGCAATTTCAAACATTATTTTTTTTAAAAGTATTGATAAGAAATAATTTTTAAAAATACATTTAAAAATTCACTCAAAACACACCCTAAAGGGCATATTTTTCTTATTAATTTAGGGTGTTAATATTAGCCGTTAAATTAATTTTAAAGTAAAATTTAAAATAATTTCAACTGCGAATAGCAAAAATCATTTTGTTTATCTTTTAAGATTTGAATTATAAACTATTTTATTATATAGATTTCTGCATAACATAGAATTAAGTTGAGTGATTATCCTGATTGAATTTCGTTAAATTCATGTATAATCCACTAAATTTAGTTTACTTAAGTAATTAGGGTCAAATAAGTTTGCAATTGGATCGTATATTAAATTTTGAATATAGAATACAAAAATAAAATTATTAAATCACTAGACCGAGTTTGGATTGGTTGACTATTAATAACACCCCAAACTTATGTCCCCATCAAGGGATCGATCGATCATTGTAGCTAAGAGGTCCTTTGGATTGGCAGCCGAGGAGAAGAATGTTGTGGTCACAACTTTCCCAAGTGTCACAAGCAACTTCTGGATTACCGGTGATACTAGCGAATATGACATGAATTTTTAAAAGTGATTTAATTCCGACTTTTAATAATTTAGAAATTTCTGGTTGAATTCTCTTTTTTTATTTTTTAAATGCTAGTCAACTTTATCTCTTTAAGGACATGTTGTAATTCAGCTCAAACTATAATAACTAGTCACTAAATTCAAAAGAGTAGTCGATGTAAGTCTAAATATCATGTAAGAAAAAAAAAAGAATAAAACATGACAAATGATGATACTCAAAATATGTCTAAGTATGAGCTCAAGCGTTTAGCTCCGACCTTAAACTTGGATCATTCAACTTATCACAGATAACTGGGAGTTCAGGTCGACACCTCTTCCTCAGCAACTACACCCCTATAGAAATAGAAAGGATGATAGCTGACTTCGACCCAAGCATCACATATAAGTCGTAACGGTCTTATACTTGGGCAAGAAATCGTAATCGTCTCAACGCTATCCATGGCGATCACATTAAATGTGTAACCTTTACAAGAAGGCAAGAATTACGCTATGGATCAGGTAAGGCCTTAGAAGACTAAAAATAAGGTAAGGCCTTAGAAGACTAAAAATAAGAGGCATATCCCTTACAATGAAAAACAAGCAACTAACTTAAGCAAATACTCTGTGTAATCTTCCCCTTTTTATCAATAAAATCATCTTTCGGAATAAGAGACTCTCTCAAGAGTAAATTAGTTAAACTTTTGAACTGGTAAACTACTATAAACTCTCTGTATGCAATTCTCCATCTCCCTTGTTCAAGTCTTAAGAGCCTAGGAGCTCTAATTGGGTCATCCAGTAATACCCAAAGAATCTTAACTCTGTTCAATTGTGCAATACACACCATCAACAAATAAACGGCTACCGTTAAGATACTTGATAAAATTCAGATTAATTAAATAGATTAAAATAGAATTGACTATGATTAGACACAAATTTGAATTGACACCCCTAGGTTCTCAAGAAAGAACTGATTCTTTCCTTTCTTTGCAAAAAATGAAGAATTATCGATACTGATACGCCAAATAAAGCAAGTTATTCCTTCTTGAAATTAATCGGATTTGCTCGCATAGGAAGATGCGAATGAAAAGAAAAAAAAATTATTATTTGGACCTAATTTGAGAATTTAATTAACTAAAATTGCTAGATTAAAATTGAGTTTTATTTAATATTAAAATTCAAAATTAATTCAATGACTGAATTGAATTGTATCTCTTTTCAAGTCGTCAAATTGGGTTTCCATAGCATTGCTCAATAAAAAGATTTTTTTTTTTTGTTGTTTCAACGGTCTTGATTATCCGGATTAGTTTACGCGCAATTAGATTAATGTCCTCTCTGGGCTGATCAATAACATGTCATTCACGTCAAAATTAGGGTATTCATAAAGGATAAATTCTTAGTGACTTAACTTTAAAAAATTATCAAAATTTAAATTTAAGACGTCTAAACTTACAATTTATCTCTTTTACGACTTGGACGCTCTTAAATTAAAAGTTAAAGAAACATAAAGAAAGAGATCTGCCTCATAAATCATGCCACTCCAAAAGCATTCTAGTCTCTGTCATGCCATTGATGCCAACCGAAGTGAAAAAGAAAACAGACCTTAAATATTGTGCACTGTGTCTTTTTCTTGTTCTGATCTTGAAGGCTGAGACAAGAATCTTACTTTGCAAAACCAAAGGGTGGTTGTCATCTAATCAACCAATATATAATACATTCACTTTATTGTAGAGCTTTAAAAATGTGGTACCTTGCGACGATACTTTAAGAATCTCTATGTGACTAGTGAACCATGACTATAATGTGAGTAAACAATTTCTTTTTTTTGATAAAAGACACACAAAACTAAGTACACAAAGTTTAAATACTTACCTTACTTCAACAGTAGAACACATCAACACTTTGGTATAAAAAAGATACTTGATTATGCAATTTCTAAAAAAAATATAAAATAAAATCCACCCTTAGAACTTAGCTAACAGTGGTATGGAGTCCTTTGGTACCTGAGATTCCCAAAATGGATACTAATAGATCAGGTGAACATAGTAATATTCATATTGTTGCATTTCAATCTCTCTTGAGCTTTTGATGCCATCTGAAAGAGAACCCAATACTTATTTATCATAAACTTATATATAATTGAATTTTCAGATTATTAACAAGGTATATCTAATGCCAAAGTATAAACACAAAAGATGGAAGCTTGAGCAACAGATTGAGGT